TATATATTTATTATGTGTATATATATATAACCCCACCCCATGGCCATCCAGTCGAATCCAACTCATAGCAAGCCTATAGGACAGAGTAGAACTGCCCCAAAGGATTTCCAAGGCTGTAGTCTTTACAAAGCAGACTGCCACATCTTTCTCCCATGGAGCCGTTGTTGGGTTTGAACTTCTGACCTTTCATTTAGCAGCCAAGTGCTTAATCAGTGCACCAGCAGAGCTCGTATATATATGTATATCCCCCATTGCTGTCGAGTTGATTCTGACTCATGGCGACCCTGTAGGACAGAGTAGAACTGCCCCATAGGGTTTCCAAGGAGCAGCTTGTGGATTCAAACTGCTGCACTTTTTTTGTTTGATTAGCAGCTGAGCTCTTAACCACTGCTCCTCCAGGGATCCATATATACACGCACACATATATTCATACAGTCATGCATCACTTAACGTCCATAATACATTCAGTGAAATAGGCTATTACGTGATTTGTACGTTGTGCAAACACCATATTACAACAGGCAGTCCCTGGGTTATGAATGTCCAACTTACGTAGACTTGTGTATAGCCTGTAGTTACGAACCAACCCCTGTAAAGCCTATATATTAAAAATTCGAGGTACATACAATGGTTCGTAATAACAAACGGACACTACTTTGCAACATCAAAACATTATTGTTACTATTACTGTATTTTTATGGTAAAGACATTGTAGTATATCAGGATTTCTGACCTCTATTATAACCTTATGGGACCATGGACATATATGCTGTCAGATGTTGCCCGAAAAGATGTTATGCGGTGCTTGACTGTATATATATTTCAAACTCGTTGCCGTCGAGTCTATTCCAACTCATGACAGAGCCTCTGGGTGGATTCAAACCACCAATCTTTAGATTCTAGTCGAGGGTAAACCTTCTGTGCCATCCAAGTATCTTATATTTGTATATAAAACCAGCTCTTATATTGGGTGTTCATGGAACTTTCACAGTACAATATTTTCATAAATGAGTCAAATATTGAATATTTGAAACATATTTCACTTACATACAATTACAGAAAGAACCATGTTTTAGAAAGACAGTGAAAATAATGGTAGCATCGCTGACAGATGATTTAATCTATGAAACATGAGACAGTTTAGGGTAAAAAAACACATATTTACTGTATATGATAATGGTGAAATGGTAACAGATTTATGTCCAACAACATGCTGCCTGTTTTTAACAGAAGGCAAATGGTAGAGAACGTCTGTGAAAGCAATGAAGACAATCAGTGTGAACAGACCTTCATCCAGATTCCAAATCTTTCTGTGCTCAAAAGAACTCCTGTGAAAGTATATCCTTCTGAATGCCTTGAGTATGGAACATCCTTGATGGATCATTCATCACTTAAGCATCATATCAGATCTGACTCTGAATGTAATGCCTCTCAGTGTAAGGAATGTGGAGAAGCCTGCAGTTACACTCCTTACTTCAGCACTTCTGTGAGAACTCTTACTGGAGAGAAACCCTATGAATATAAGGAATGTTGGAAAGCCTTTCATAAGTCCTCAAGCCTTACTGGACATACAAGAATTTACAGTAGAGAGATGCCTTATGAATGTAGGGAATGTGGCAAAGCCTTTTGTCATCCTTCAAACCTCGATAGACACATGAGAATTCACAGTGGAGAGAGGCCTTATGAATGTAAGGAATGTGGCAAAGCCTTTAGTCAGTTCTCACACCTGACTAAACATATAAGAAGTCACAGTGGAGAGAGGCCTTATGAATGTAAGGAATGTGGCAGAGCCTTTCATCAGTCCTCCAACCTGACTACACATATGAGAACTCACAGTGGAGAGAGGCCTTATGAATGTAAGGAATGTGGGAAAGCCTTTAGTCAGTCCTCAAACCTCACTGCACATATAATAACTCACAGCGGAGAGAGGCCTTATAAATGTAAGGAATGTGGTAGAGCCTTTCGTCATTCCTCACACCTCACTAGACATATGAGAATTCACAGTGGAGAGAGGCCTTATGAATGTAAGGAATGTGGCAAAGCCTTTCGTCAGCCCTCAGACTTCACTAAACATATGAGAACTCATAGTGGGGAGAGGCCTTATGAATGTAAGGAATGTGGCAAAGCCTTTCGTCAGTCCTCAGACTTCACTACACATATAAGAACTCACAGTGGAGAGAGGCCTTATGTTTGTAAGGAATGTGGCAAAGCTTTTAATCAGTCCTCACACCTCACTGTACATATAAGAAGTCACAGTGGAGAGAGGCCTTATGAATGTAAGGAATGTGGCAAAGCCTTTCATCATTCTTCACACCTCACTGAACATGTGATAACTCACAGTGGAGAGAGGCCTTACGAATGTAAGGAATGTGGGAAAGCCTTTAGTCAGTCCTCAAACCTCGCTATGCACAAAAGAACTCACAGCGGAGAGAGGCCTTATGGATGTAAGGAATGCGGCAAAGCCTTTCGTCATTTCTCACACCTCACTATACATATGAGAGTTCACAGTGGAGAAAGGCCTTATGAATGTAAGGAATGCGGAAAAGCCTTTAGTCAGTCCTCAAACCTCACTATACATATGAGAAATCACAGTAGAGAGAGGCCTTAAGTAAGGAATATGGGAAAGCCTTTAGTTGGTCTCCAGTTCTTACTGAACATAACCTCACAGTGGGAGAGGGTTCGTGAATGTAAGGAATGTGGGAAAGAATTTAGTTGTTATTCCTTATCCCTCACTGAATACATAAGAAATCACCCTGGGAGAGAAACGTTTTGAATGTACGGAATGTGGGAAGTTCTTTTGTAAATCCTCAAACCTCACTGATCATGTAAAAAATTACAGTGGAGAGACGACTTATAAATGTAAGGAATGTCGGAAAAGTTTCAAATGTCCCTCATCCTTTGGAACACATCTGAGAAGGATACTGGAGAGGAACAATGTGTGTTTAAGTAATGTTGGGTAGTTTTAATCTTTTTTTTTTTTTTTTTGGTCTACCTGAAAGAAGAAACCATGTAAGTATAAGGAATGTGGGGAATTTTTTTCCCCCCTCTCATATTTTCAAAGACGTTCTAGTTTGCACATACGGGAAAACCTTCCCTACATATATGAGATGTGAGTAGTGACACTGGAGAGACAGGTAAATATAAGGCTCCTTGGAGCACCTACAAGTCTTTTTCAATTCTTAGACAACTTGTGAGCTATTACACTGCGGATAGATCCTGTGAATGTAAAAGATGATGGTGTTCCTCCTTAGGATGCCAGTGAAGCCTCACAGTCTAGAGAGACCCTGTGACTGTAAGCATTGTGCAAAGACCTTCATTCACATTATTTCCATTCTTTTGCACAAGAAAATTCATAGCAGGGGAGAAATCAAAGTTAGAAATACGGAATTTTCCACTATATTATCTCTATGTGCATTACTTTATCCACTTGTTATTTTTTGATGTAAAATTAAGGTGAAAAATATCAGTCTAAGTCTCCTTTCACTCCTAGGACATGAATTTTGATGAATAGTGTTTGTACTTTTCTTCATTTATATAAAAATTCTCTTCATTATAAAGTCTCATCAACGTGTTTTGAAGCATGTTTTCTTTTAACTATGTTAAATTTTAATTTTTTTCAGAGTATAAAGCAATGTGTTCTCATTGTAGAAAATTTGAGTTTAATTGGAAAGAGTGCGGAAAAAGCAAAAATCACTTAAAATGTCACTACTCTTGGTGTGTTCAAATGAGTTATTTTATGTTGTATTTTGACTTGGTTCTTTGGAAAAACAGCTTGACAGATTTTTGTCCCCTAAGCCCTGAGGAGTTACCTTTGATATGGTGTTCTACCTCTGAGAGTTTGTTACTTTTGTCCAGGTTGATTGACATTTCCTGGGTAAGCTGTAAACAACTTGATGATTTGATCATTTTTGTTTAGCCCTGGGATGCAGTCTGCTGTAATTGGTCTATTTGATGCATTTTGTAGTGATTGGTGGGCTTATTATTCAAATTGAGTGATTTGCAGTCCACCAAAGGGATTGATGTCTTTGTGGTCCTGCTGGGAGGGCCATACCTTGAGATTGACAAGAAGTTTGCTTATATAAGCAGCCAACTTAGGTTTTTAGAGAGGCAAGAAGGGAGAAGAAGCAGAGAGAGACGAGGCAAGGAACCTTCTAAAAGAGTTGTAACACAGGTCAAGGGCTGTAACACTGAAGCTGGCAAGGAGCCCAGAAGGGGGCCTGTGGCAGGGTTGGCTGACACAGGCCTGGAACGGGCCCTGCAGCAGAGTCTGCGATGACTGTGGAAAAATACTATTAGGAAAGCAGCTAAGAGAGCTAAGCAATATGCTGGGCCAGTTAGCAGTGGAGAGGCCCACAAAGGCAAAGGGGCCTGCTTGGCTTTTTAGGGGCATGCAATGCTGAGAGGGGCTTGCACTGCCAAGAGAAGGCCTGTCCTGATGGGGCCGAGAGGAGGTCTATACTAAGGGTTTGAGAGAGGATGGACACTGCAGGGCGGGTGCATGCATGGCCAAGGGAAGGGCCTGCCTGCTTTTACAGCCAAGAGGAGCCGAGAGAGCTGTCCTGCACTGAAGAAGCTAGGGAAGAGTGTGCTCACTGCTTCGGGGAATCCTTCTGAAACTTGCCTGTGTGCTTCCTGATCCTGATTCCAAGTTGTTCCTGTTGCTTCTGAGGTGATCCTGATCCGAAGTTGTAGCCCATTACTTCCCTAATAAGCCACATGACTGTTGAGTATGGTCTGTGAGTTCTGTGTAGCCATTGCAACAAATTATCAAACCCATCAGAGAAGTATAGAGTGCCATGGGGGAAGATGGCTGGTGTCAGAAATGATGAAGTCTGAGGGTGGGTATATGTTTGACCTCCACCTCATGGGAACCAGCCTTGCACTGATCCTGGTTCTTATTGTCCCTCAGGAATTTGGAAGATTCCTTGAGCTAGAACACACTTGGTATTTTGGTTATTTTTTTCCGCCTTAATACAAATAAATGTTTTTAATAGAATCAGGGTTGTACTGTGTGTTTAGTGTAATAGTGGATATTTTTGCATTGCATCTTCTCCCTGAACACTGTTATGATCCCTTATTTACTGATGAGGAAACTACACAAAGTTTTGTTTTTTTCTGAAATAGTAATGCAATGCTTTTTTTTAATTGTACTTTAGATGAAGGTTTACAGAACAAATAGTTTCTCATTAAACAGTCAGTACATACTGTTTTATGACATCGGTTGATAACCCCACAATATGTCAAATATGTCAGCCCTCTCCCTTCTTGACCTTGGAGGACCTTTTTTTTTTTTTTTTTTGCACAAAAAGTTTTAACCCAAAATCATCCCACAGAAATGCACCTCTTTCAAATAGCAGTGTAGCAAGCAGGGTTTGCATGGATAGATGGCTCTTTCTGGGGGCCTATGGCAATGATAGGTGCACCCAGAGCCCCAATGTGACCTATCTGCAGTGGTACTTCTGTCCCACACTGTCACAGAGCCTGTGCTCAGTGACAGAGTCCTTGGGGTAGTTCTGACAATCTAAGGGTGTACACCAGGCCAGGAATTGATGCTGCAGTTGCTGGGCTTCTCTGGAATACTGGCTGCTGCCCCACCTGCAGGGCCTGGAGAATATGGGAGTCCAGCTAAATTTCCTGTATTAGTGGGGAAAAGGCAAGGGGTTGTTGGACCTGTCAGTTTATCCAGGGCCACTTTTCCCCACCCTGAGCTGGGAGCTGCCTGACTCCTCATTTAAGGGGCTAGGGAAATGGTGTTTGTAGGTAGCAGAAGCTTTTCTATTGGACCTTCCCTTGACCCAGCAGTTCTTGTAGAATTGTTCCATGAAGATCTCTAGGCACCATGATGGTGCCTATTGATTGTAGTGATAGTAGAAACCATGAAAGTCAGTGACCACCAGGAAAAGAGCTGTTAGATAAATGCCTATTCACACATCAGAATATTGCAACGAAAGGAGTTTTTTTTTCCAAAAAATTCAAAATAGTAATTCAGTTTTGGAATGTGGATTGACAAATGCATTAAGTCTTATAAATCAGTAGCACAATGGAAGTACAGAACAGTTTCTTGCTTCCCACCAAAAACCTCCCTTGTGCTGTCCCTTTTAAGGAAAACCTTCCCGACTGTGAATCCCTAGCAGCTGTTCCTATACGTATCCTGCACTGTGTAGCTTTTTAATTCTGGCTCCTTGCACTTAGCAAATGCATTTGAGAGTCATCCAAGTTGATGAATGTATGGATAGTTTTTTCCTTTCCCAGCTTTGCAGTATTCCCTTGTATAGAAATATTATAGTTTGTGTATTCAACATTTTAAGGACGTTTGGATTTACGATTGTTATGAATAAAACATATAATCATTCCTGCACAGCTTTTGTGTGAACATAAAGTGGTTTTCTTTCCTTGCATATATCCCTAGGAGTAGGATTGCTTTCATATTGTAGGTGTATATTTAACTTTGTAAGAATACTGCTAACTGTTTTTTAAGGGGGCTGTGCCATTTTGTATTCCCACCAGCAATATTTCATTGCAGTTGCTGCTGAGATCTGCAGAGGCTTCTTTCTGGAGAAATCCAGCACACTTCTCTTTGGCAGTGGTGTCAGGGGAAGGCCTTCGGGTTGGTGGCTCCTCTGACAGGCAGCCTCAAATTTGCTGAGGGGAGGAGATGGCCTGTAGCAATCACTATTAGAAGACAGGCTCTTGTATGTGGGACTCTGGGCTGTGCCATCAGTGCCTGCTTGGTCTGAATCCAGGCCCATCTGAGTCTTTTGTGGAAGGAAAATAGTGTTTCTCTTCAGGTTGCAGCTGCAGGAAGTGACTGCTGCTCCACATTACCACAATCCCTGAGGTCATAGCCATTACTCTGTTCCTGTGGAAACCAGAAGTGGGTATGTCCATCTAAGCTAGTGGATCAACCAGTAGGCGGCCATTGTACTGTTCAGTTCCTCCACCTGTTTCTAAAGTGAGTTTTTTCATCTTGGTAGTAGGCTGAGTCCAGATGTGGCCGTGTGGGAGCCAGAGGTTCCAAAAGTGATGATGTGGGGATCAAAGGTTGGTCCCATAGGAGAAACTCCAGATCCATGGCCCCTCTTCCAAGAGCCTAGCTATTTTTGGCCTCACCCACCTAGGTCTCAGCTCATCCCAAACTGCTGATATCTTGGCTGTCACCTGGGGCTTCGGTCCCTGAGGTGGGTTGGGAAATGTGGGAGGTGGCTTTTCAACTGCTAGGCTCTACCCTACCAAAGTCTTCAAAGCATTATTTGTGTCCTTTCATGAAAAGAAAAAAAGCATCTCCGCCTGTCTTAGCCATCTAGTGCTGCTATAACAGAAATACCAGAAGTGGATGGCTTTAACAAAGAGAAGTTTATTCTCTCACAGTCCAGTAGGCTGCAAGTCCAAATTTGGGGCATCAGCTCCAGGGGAAGAGTTTCTCTGTCGACTCTGGAGGAAGATCAATGTCATGAGTCTTCCCTTGGTCTGGGAGCTTCTCTGCGCAGAACCTCAGGCCCAAAGGACGTGCTCTGCTCCTGGCACTGCTTTGTTGGTGGTATGGGATTCCCGTCTCTGCTCATTTCTCTCTTTTGTATCTCAAAAGAGATTGGCTTAAGACACTATCTACTGTTGTAGACCTCATCAGTATAACTGCCACTAATCCGTCTTACTACATCATAGTGATAGAGTTTACAACACATAAGGAAATCACATCAGATTACAAAATGGTACACAATCATGCAATACTGGGAATCATGACCCAGTCAAGTTGACAGGTATTTTGGGGGGACACAATTCAATCCATGACACCACCTTTCCTTGTCAAGGATACTGCCTCAGCCCTATCCTCTCCTCCTGGACTTGGCAATTCTGTCCTGTTCTGATCATTGGAAATAATTTCTCTGATTTTGAGTGTTGGGTTATCTTAGTTATCTAATGCTGCTATAAGAGAAATACCACAAGTGGGTGGCTTTAACAAACAGAAATTTATTTTCTCACAGTTTAAGAGGCTAGAAGTCCAAATTAAGGGTGCCAGCTCAAGGGGAAGGTCCTTATTTCTTGGCTCCTTAGTGGTCTTCATGTTGCATGGGGTTCTGTCCTCTCCCCTTACCTTTGTTCACTTGTTTAATCTCTTTTATATCAGAAGAGATTGACTCAAGATATAACCACAGGCTATTATGGATTGAACTGTGTCTTTCAAAAATATGCGTTGTAAATCCTAACTTCTGTGCCCGAGGTTTTAATCCCGTTTGGAAATGAGTTGTCTTTGTTATGTTAATGAGACAGGGTTAGTGTAGGGTGTGTCTTGAGTCAGTCTCTCTTTATATAAAAGTGATAGATGCCAAGACACATGGAGATCTCCAAGGAACCAGGAAGCAAAAGCTGAAGAGACAAGGACCTACCTTCATAACCCACAGAAAGAGAGAAAGCCTTCCCTGAATTTGGCACCCTGAATTTCTACTTCTAGCCTCCTAAACTGTGAGAAAATAAATTTCTGTTAAATCGGTTTTCCTCTTAACAACAACACTAGATAAAAAACACACAGGCATAGAGATTAGAATTTACAAAACATTTTTAGGGAGTATAATTCCATCCATAACATTCAAATTTTTGGCTCCCAAAAATTCACATCCTTGCCACGGCAAGACATTCATCCCATCACATCATCCCAAAAGTCTTAAATCCACTCCAAGTCCAATATCTCATCTTCTGAATCATCTAAATCAAATATGGGTGAGACTTCAGGTGTATTCCATCCTGGGGCAAAGTCTGTCTTCATCTGTGAACCTGTGAAATCTAGAATACAATCTGTTTCCAAAGTACAATGGTGGAACAGGCACAAGGTAGACATTTCCATTAAAAATCAGAGAAATGGGAGAAAAAGAAGGGATAACAGGCACCAAGCAAGTCCAAAACCCAGCAGAACAAATTACATTAGCTCTCAAGACTTGGGAATAATACTGTGTTCTCAGAGACCATCTGAGCAAGGGCCCTGCCCTTCAGACTCTGGGTTTTGGCCATACTCTCTGGATTCTGGGTGGAGGCACCTCAACCCTAGGCTTCAGCTCTGCCTTCCGGAATCATTGGGATAGCAGCTCTGCTCCCTCACCTTTGGGCAGCCCTGTTCTAGCCATCTGAGTGGCGATCCCACCCCCAGCCCCCAGTCAGACCTGGTTCTTCTGCCCTTTGGGCATGACAGCCCCACGCCCTCAGCTTTGGGTGGTGGCACCATCCCCTGGCACACGTTAGCGGCAGCCCCACACTCTGGAACTGAGTTGGTGAATATCCGACTTTGAAACTGAGGAGGCCATAGCCCCACCCTTTGAGGTCAAGGAGACCCTGGCCCTACCCTTTGAAACCAAGAAGGCCCAGCTTCCTGTGCTCCTTCCAACAGTTCTGCTGATCTCCAAACTGCTCCAGGGCTGGTTCTGTTCTTGGAGGACAACAGATGTAGCTCCTTTGGCCTGTTTTCTGCCTCTAGAATTCCAAGAGGCAGACAATGTTCTCTCCTTTTGTTCTTTGTCCCCTTCAGTCTAAGCTGATGGGGTTTCTGCTGTGATAGTTGGTTAGCTCCGTCAGTCACAGGCTTAATCTCTTTTAACAAGGATTCTATAGCCACGTTCTTGGTAAACATTCTAGAATGTGTGTCTTTAGTTTGTACAAAATTTACCAAATCTTTAAGTTCTGTTTTCGTTTTTGCATAGTTCATTTTTAAGTCCATCTCTTTCATCTCACATTTTCCTATAAGCAGAAAAGAGAAACCACACACCCCTTTAGGATCTTGCTTAGAAATCTCATCAGCTAGATATCCAAGTTCATCACTTACAAAGTCTACTTTCCACCAAACATTTGAATATAATTCAGACAAGTTCTTCGCCACTGCATTAAAAGCATTGCCCTTTGTCCATCGTGCAGTCACATGTTCATTTTGTTTTAAATCTTCACCAAAAGTACATTTAATGTCCACATTTCTATCATCATTCTGTTGTCGACGCCATATGTGTTTTTTAAAAGGATAGAAACTTTATAGCTCTCCTCACTTCCTTCTGAGCCCTTATCAGAATTGACTTTGATGTCCACAATTCTACCAACAGTATCTTCAGGGCAATCTAGGCTTTTTCTCTTAGGCATCTTAAAACTCTTCCAGCCTCACCAGTTACCCAATTCCAAAACCACTTCCACATTATAGGTATTGGTTAGAGCTGCATAC